GGGAGCCCGATGCGGGACTCGATCCCGGGACTCCAGGATCATGACCTGAGCCGAAGGCAGTTGCTTAACCAACTGAGCCACCCAGGCGCCCCAGAGGACAATGTTCTAAGAACATTCCTCTGAGAACATTCTCTTGGGGGATAAAGAGATGCAAGACCCATTTAGCCCTTGATGGCTTGAGAGAGTACCTTTTGTTTCAGCACCATTCTCATTTGTGGTCGCCTCCATGCACATGCATACACAGAAATTATAAATATAATCTTGCTCTTGGCCATTCTAAATATCCAAGATGGCATATACAGGTTCTCTGTGTAGAGCTCTTAAGAGCAAGGGGTAAAGATATGCAGCACCATCATCCTTCAATATCCAGCGGGGTACACAAGTCTATTAATGAAAAAAATAAAATCTGATTGGTAGTGGATCACAACCATAATTGGAATCCAGAAGATGGTGCCAAGTAGGATTTATCGCACTGGATCATATGGATTGTATTATATAGAGTCAGCCTCAGATGAGCACTGATGGATCCCTTTACCCTTTCTTTTTCTACTCTTCTGTCCTCCCTACTGGTACTGACTCCATCTTGCAACAACTTTTGTAATAAATCCCTGACAGAATATTGTTATAGCATTCTCTGTGGGCAAGCTTGGGGAGACCATTGTTTCTGGCTCCACTTCTGGAAGGGTTTTTCACTTTCCCTGACTAAAACTTCTGTCAGATGAATTTTTCTCTTGAGAATATTGTTATCTCTCATGTCTTCCAGGTACTGTTATGTCGCAGGTTGTCTCCATATCAGGCCCAAAGATGAGTAGGATTGGAAAGAAGAGGACAGAGATTCTTCATCCTAATCCAGATGTATAGTTATTCTGTGTAGTCTGCCTTCGCTTTTTTTTTTTTTTAAAGATTTTATTTATTTATTTGAGAGAGAGAGTGAGAGAGAAAGAGCACAAGAGGGGGGAGCGGGAGGGGGAGAAGCAGACTCCCTGCTGAGCAGGTAGCCCGATGCGGGACTCGATCCCGGGACTCCAGGATCATGACCTGAGCCGAAGGCAGTCACTTAACCAACTGAGCCACCCAGGCGCCCTGCCTTCGCTTTTTGATATTTGACTGCTGACAGCTTTTAAGACTCACTCCTCCTTCCCCTTGTGTCCCACACCTGGACAAGCTGATAAGGAAGCCTGAATGCTCTCTCCCTGGGCATTGGCAAGAGATTCACATCACACAAACCCCTTCCTGTGGGCATGGGAACACTCACCCTGGCCCTAACCACAATAAAAACCCAGGCCAGTCTCCTTTCCTCACTCTCTCAAGCCATTTTGGGCCTGCTTGAGAGACGTACCCTGGTCTCTCCCAGAGACCTCAGTTACATAAGTAATAAACCTTTTCATACACTTGGTCTGTGTTTATGTGGCATCATCATTCTCAATATTGGAACCCAACTTTGGGTGGGTCCTATCTGCCTCTGCAGGTGACCATTACACTCTGGATACCCTAGCTCTCTAGCTAATCCTTTATTTCCCATGGTCTTCTGTGATGCCAGCCAATGCTGCAGGGGCAGTGGTCAGTCAGTCCATCCTGGTTGGTCCTGCTGCCCTGTTTCTCCTGCAGGAGAAGCAATTGTATTCAGTCCTGAACTCACATTGAATATCTGGGTGTCATTTTGCATATAGCCTCCTAGTTCTGTGGAAACTTTAAAAATGACTAACAGAGGTGCTTGGCTGGCTCAGTTGGAGGAGTGTGCAACTCTTGATCTCAGGGTTGTGAGTTCAAGCCCCATGTTGTGTGTAGAAATAATAAACTAAAAAATAAATAAATAAACTTAAAAAAAAATGACTCTACAAAAAAAAAAAAATGACTCTACCAAAAAAAAAAATGATCCTAAAGAAACTGGCTGCAATTTCTAGAATCTGGTGTCTGACTCCGTTTCTTGGTTGGATGAGACCCGGTCACTTTCTTGAAACTTTGGCAATCAGGAAGGAATTAGGACAGGAGGCCAGTGCTCTTCAGATCCCGGTAAGGGCCACAGATGTCATGAGGCCTAGATGCTGTTTAATTACAGTATCCTTATAATGCCTACTGTACCCTAAAAATAACACCTGAGTTGGCTTGAATGTATTTCTGGTCCTTAGAATGAAACAAAACTTGATTAATACACTAATAAACTAATTTGCTTTTACTTTTTTATTCTTGATCATATGGACTTCACATTAGCTTTATTTTATTTTTTGTTTTTTTAAGATTTTATTTATTTATTTGACAGAGAGAGAGAGCCTAAGTAGAGGGAGCAGCAAGCAGAGGGGTGGGAGAAGCAGGCTTCTCACTGAGGAGGGAAGCCTGATGTGGGGCTTGATCCCAGGACTCTGGGATCATGACCTGAGCTGAAGGCAGACGCTTAACCGACAGAGCCACCCAGCCTCCCCATTCACATTAGCTTTTAAAAAAAGTGTTCGTGGGCGCCTGGGTGGCTCAGTTGGTTGAGTGACTGCCTTCGGCTCAGGTCATGATCCTGGAGTCCCAGGATCGAGTCCCGCAT